GCTCAACTGCAAATATCGTCTGATAAAGAGTTTATTTATATACATGTTTAAGCAGGAATGGTTTTAAAATGTAAATATGATTCCATACGACTTTAAACTGGAACTAATGAGGATTTCTGATTTCACCACCTGTGTTCTTTATTCCGCAGAATAAAACATAAAATCCAGCAGATTGAGGGGAGATCTTTGCTGCCCACCTTCTCCAGGTCCAGGACCTTGTCCTGCATTTCCTTCAGCGCTCCGAGCAGCTCGGCTTGGCGCAGACGGGACTCCTCCAGCTGCGTCTGCAGATCGTTCACAAACTGCTCCGTATGCTGGAAACACAAGTTCTCCTGTTATTCATCCGCACCTGTTGGTTTATTTTAACGCACGGAGCAGACGCAGCCGTCTGCTATGTTACGGTCATCAGCTTAGTTCTGCAAATTCACCACAGGCGTGTAAACGTGAGCTCTGCCATCTGTTTGGTTCTTTCACCAGAGAAACCAAGAAACAGCTTTTATTGCATTAAGGCTGCAAATAACCATCATCTTTGAGATCGATTCAGCTGTCCATTGTTTGTTTTTATTAATAGATTGATAACTGGACAGCCAAGCTTCCCTAAATAAGACTTTTAACAATATGAAACCAGGTTAAAGTAAAACTTTTCCACTTGAGGAGTTCTGCATAGAGCAGACTGACACATTTTATTCATCTTAAATGCAAAAAGTTGATATATTTTTCAATCTTGGTATAATTCCTGCTCTAAGTGGGTGGCTCTGTCAGCTAAACGCTAAATGAAAGATATTTATGAATTCTCTACAGATCTGGAGTGAGAGGAAAACATCAGTCCTCTTTTTCATTTTTCTCTCAGAAAGCAGCTATTTAAAAACCCAGAAATATCAAACTCTGTATTTGCGTAGAAACAAACCCAGAGGATGACGTCAGCCAATGAAATGCCACCGCATGCCTGTCAGTCGCCACATCAAGGTCAAACTACAAAGCGGCAGCGAGAGCAGCAGGAAGCAGCCGACGGAGCGGAAAACTACTCAGCAGGTAAAAAAACCAAAGCCTTAAATCTGGGCAAGTCCGTAGCGTGAGGCGACTCGTCATCCTGGGCATTTCAGTCACCGTTATCAAAGCGTCTCAACCTGGGGGGTTTGAGTCACTCAGAGTGAAATCACTGTATTAACTTTGCTTTTCTTAATTAAACGATTATGCTGTCGTCACGACGACGCCATCAGCTCAGCAAACATTCATGATAGCAGAGAGTTTTTAGTGAAACCAGGTAGTTTCTGTCGCTGGCGTTCATAACTGAGCATCCGACACCTGATGGACCGAAAGAAGATTTATTACTCTGATGTCTTCTTAAGTCCGACACTGAAAGATTTAATTAAAAACATATTTTTAGTTTGTTAACAAAGCAGATTTTAAAGGTGAGCAGCTTTAAGTTCTGGGCAACATTTCATCCTTTATTCGTCACATTTCCACATCTTCTCTGCTTCTCTCTGACTTCCTTCATTCTGGCGTTTCTACATCCATGATCTACAGCCAGGGGCGCATTTAGGAAATGTGGGGCCCAAGGCAAAGACAGGCAGGGGCCCCTCTGAATAGACAACACATAGAACAGCCCCATTCTCCAGATGTAGAAATG